TGTATACTAGTCATTTGTGAGCAGGATAAAACGGACAAAAAGAACAATGGCCTAACATGCCCTAAATTGTGACCCCATGTAAGTTTTGTAGGTGACACAACATCCAATCAAAATATTCAAATTTCTAGTTTAAGTACGTTTGTAATGTCGTTACTTTTTTTGGAAGTTGAAGCTGTTGAGGATTGATGTCTTGTATTATGAGAAAATAGATCTACCAAGGTGGAGTAAAAAAGATGACTCCAAATGACCATTAAAAGCCCGAAGGGCTTGAGGCCCGGAGGAGTCGTCTTGACATGTTGACTTGACCGACTTGGCCCCCGCAGATTAAAAGGGTTAAGGAAAAACACAGATCTCTTTGTAATTAGATAAAACCAGAGAGGCATAAGGAAGAGAGCAACGTATATATTTGCATTATGGTTGGTTGTTTCTTTCTTTTATGTTTGTTTCTTCTTTCTTGTTTTCGTGAATTGGTTTTCGTTTTTACATAAGCATCATGTGCCAAATCATCATGTATGAGACTAAAGGTTTGGTCTTCGATAGAACAAAATAACATACTAGAATTTTGTAATCAATCCCATGTAGTTAGGATGAGGCTGGGATAATGATTATGATGATGAGAATGCCAAAAATAGGATGTGAGTAAGTTGATAACCTAATTTCGGCACTAGACCCCCTAGGTTCCGGATTCATGCCGACCAGGTGAGTCCCAAGTTATCTTGGCGACTTTCGAAACAATCCCATGGAAGGTATTATTGCGACTAGCGGCTACAATGTTTCTAGAAAAGTCAATTCAGCTGCCAAAATGACAAAAGTGGACATATGAGAGTTAGGTTAGCCCAGAGCAAAATTGTCCAAATTACTGTAGGGAGGTTGCTTCTTCTTTTGGCTGATCCAAGAAAGAAGCAACCAAAAGCATGACAGGATATGAAGGCATAAGAGCACTGAAGCGACTAAATAAATAAGCAACATCCCCCACTTATAGAAATGGCAATGTGTCATATTTGATCAGAGAAAGACGTCGAAACTTTTTCAAAAAGGGAAAAAAGTTTATATAGAATCCAGGCTCTAAACAATCAAATTAGAGCCCACCTCAAAAATTCACTTGAAGAGATTGTTTTGATGCGACGTCACGATGTATGGACATGAGAAAAAATGGATTTCAAGTTTTGAAAATAGTGCATCTTGTAGCATTTTTGGACCGTCAATTTTCAAAATTTTCAAGTTTTCATAAATCTGCTCAATCTGTACTATTTCTTAAGCTTTAAATTTTATAATTAAAAATGAAAATATATTTAAAGATTATCACAAACAAATTTAGTATTGAAACCACATTTCTCGATACTATTTAAGGGTGCGCTTTACTTTGATTGTTTAGAGCCTCGGCTCTATACAAACAGCACCTTTTAAAAAAATTAATATAAATAAATTAGATATTTATATATAAAATTATATAAATACAATGTAAAAATTCAAAAAAAATAAATTTATATAGATATTTCTTTGCTTAGGCCGAAGAGGCCAAAGCTTTAGTTGAATCTGCTCAAAACATACCCGAATATGACTAAAGCGACAACACATGGCTTCTCTTTGCTTCGGTCTACGCCTAAAATCCAAAGGGTTGGGCCGAAGCGTAACGAATTTGACAACACTGATTAGAATATAATATTTAGAACTTCTTCGGACCTAAACAAATGTAGATAAATTTAATTGAGGAAGTTCCAAGGCATAGGGAATTTATATATGCTACTCTCTTCTGGCCGTTGAATATGAATGAATAACTGGGATAATTTTAGCCATAATGTCGTGAGCCTTGACCATTTCATCTAGATATGAGTCCTATGATGGTTTAGAGTATTTTATTTTTAATTTTTTCTATAAATAAAATAAACATAAAATTTGGTGTGTGTGATCATCTCAATGGAATGCACTAAAAAATATTTTCATGAAAATAAATTATCAAACTGCCCCTAAATTTTTAAGAGGCATTTTGATTTTTTTTAAAAAAAAATATTCTTTTAATATTTTTTGGAGGTGAGAGCCTATGAGATGATTGAATGCCTCAAATTTGGTGTCAATATGATTTGTATAAAAAAATTAAAATAAAATAGTGTTAAGCCATGATATTGTGATTGGGGTCATCTCAGCCATCCATTTAGATTGATGTCTTTCACATCTAACTAATAAACAAGTATCATGTCTTTCACATCTAACTAATAAACAAGTATCCTTTTTTTGAATGGCAGTCCCAAAAAAACGAACTTCTATGTCAAAAAGGCATCTTCGTAGAAATTATTGGAAAAGAAAAAGATATAAAGCCACGGTAAAAGCTTTTTATTTAGATAAATCGGTTTCTACCGACATTCAAGAAGTTTTTTTATATAATAACCAACAAAAACAAATAAAGCAGCATACATGTAAATTCCCTATGCCTAGGTATATACAGAAAGCTTTCTCTTACCATAAAGGCAATTGACTGAGGCAGTGTCAACCAAGGAATTAATAAAGAATTAGAACCACATGAATCGTAGACACAAAACTTGGTTAGTTCATTGGAACAAGCTGACAAATACAACATGACATGATTAACGAAAAGGAAAAAGTTTATATAAGGTTGCAATGTTAAATGTAGAATCACATATGCATCTCAAAATCTATCGAAAAATATTATTTTAATGTTGAAAAACCTTCTAATTGATCATCTTGACATCGAGATGTATGAATATGAAAAAAAATGATTCTAAGTCTAAGAAATAGTGCATCTTGAAACACATTATTTAGACTGTCCATTTTCGATATTTTCATATGTTCATGGATCTACTTGATTAAATCATTTTTGGAGTCTAAAATTTTATAATTAGAAATGAAAATAGATTTTAAGATAATCCTAAAGAATCTTTCCTTCAAAATTATATATTATAATAAAATTTGAAGGTGTGCCTTAATTGGATTGCTTAATTGGATTGTTTAAGGTTGTAACCTTATAAAAACCACACCCTAACGAAAACTCTTACTCTATTAAAAGGTGACGTAAAGGAAAAAGCTAGATGATAAGGCTATTTTTCATTTTATGCAAGAAATTCAAAATCACCCCCTGCATTCAGATGTAAAATCGAGCAGATTGGGGGATGTCATTGACCACTACTCAAAGTCTAATATTTCTCGAACTTTGTTCAAAATGATGGCATCCCCCTAACAGCCGGATCTTACATCCAACCGCTAAAGATAATTGTGACTTCATAACAAAAGTATATGATATTATATGGTACGATTTCAAAATATAACTCGACTGAAAAATGGCAAACACACTTAGGGAGGATGGTTAAGATGCTCTTAACCATTCAAGTTCCTTTATCAAGAAGGGAGAATACCATTACATGAATTTATGAATCAATCACACTGCTTTATCAAGCAAAACCGTCTAAGCATTGTCATTGAAATCCATATATATTTCTATATAGAAGAGTATATAGTTTAAGGTCACACTCAAAAAGAAGAAGTAAAGGTCAAAACCGTTTACACTGGTACAAGAGGATTGCAGTCAAATTCGATTGTTAGAAGATTACTACATAATATCATAATTATTAATATCCATATCGATCAGTGATCCCAAACTCTCAACTTATCAAGTAATAGTATAAATACATTGAATATTTGGGGGAAGACATAAAGCAAATTGAAAAAAAAAGTTTAATCTAATACTAATTACCAATAAAAGAGGTGGTAATAGGATCGTTTGTCCTATTATGTGAAATCGAGCAGCTAGAGAAGCCCCATTTACCGTGCTCAAAATCCAAAAGAGAAATTGTTGAACTTTGTAACGTATCCAAATTCTCAGATTTTGCATCTAGAAGCTGCAAATGATTACACCCACTTTCAATTGAAGGAAAATAGTCATACTATACAATCCCTTTCTGTATAAGTACCCATGAGGAGCATACAATTGAGTATGGATGCATGTATCTACAAGGCCATATCAGGCTTTTAGCCCATGTATTCCAAGTTCCTTTTCAACCACCCAAATAACTAAACAACAGGCTAAAATCCACCAAATCCACTTTGAAATATGATGTCCATCTTAATTGAAGCATAGAAATTTCAATAAAGGTTGTAAAATATGAGAATCGTGAAGAAGAAAAAGGACTTATTAAACTTTCCTCATGTTAATCTTCATGGGGAAAACTGTACTCATTCTAATATTCCTTACCAACTTAGTAATTAAAGGGAAAGCCAGTTTACACAAGTAAGAATTGTCAATATTACAAGAAAAACATATATGCCATTTTACTCCGGCCACAAATGAGCTAAAATCAGGAGATAATCACTGTAAACTAATCATCTTCTAACAAAACCACATTTACCATATCTATCATTAAACTAGTTTGCAAGAAGAAAGATGCGCGGTAGAAAATAATTGAGCTCCGACTAGGCGTGTGGTCAATTCTGATTTCCCCGATCTGGGGAGACTACCGAAGTCAAAGAAATATACATTTAACAAAAAAAAATTAAATGAAAATTTTTGAAAGATTTCCCCAATCTGTGGAGAATACCGAAGTCAAAGCAATATACATTTAACAAGAAAAAATTAAAAGAAAATTTTTGAAATTATATACTCATATAATGTGTTGCAAGATAGTACTATTTTTGGGAGTCGAAATCTCTTTTTTCTGTCCATATTTATATATCTCGATGTCGAAATGATTGAAAAACATCAAAAACAACCTTTTTAAAAGGAATTTCCCACATTAAAAAATAATCAAGATAAATAAATAGGAGCAAGAAAACGTTCAAAAATAGCCACTAGATAGAGCATCAATGGTTTAGCCAGAGAGAGAGAATCCACAGTTCACCTCTTTCAAATGTGTGCCGGACTCCATCTCTCTCTCTCGAGATGGAGAGAGAGAGAGAGTCCAATAACATTCCTCCCTCTCCCTCTCCCCCTCCCTCTCCCTCTCAGCGAAGACTTGCCCCCTCAAGATGTCAAGGAACACTGCACAACCATGTACCTTAAATAAACTCCTCAAAATAACACCCTTCACACACTAATATACACTCATCCAAAGAAAAACCGTTCACTCACATATATTGCAGCAAACCAAGAGATCCAGCACATAGAAGGCACACACAAATCAATTCAGACTCCAGCATCAAATCCAAACACCTCGCAACTTCCACTGGCCCAACAGCAACCATCACACAAACTAACTACACTTCTTAAACCTCTCTAAACTCGCATCACATACTTTTTGTTACTTAATGCTAAGAGGCTGTAGAAAAGAGAAGCTACTCATCTTTGGTCTCAGACTCAGCCTAGGTTTGGGCACTCCAAAGCCACATCCTCATCATTAATGCTAAGAGATACCAGTGTATATATATATATAGAGAGAGAGAGAGACAGAGACAGAGAAACTGTCTATTCCTTATCCTCGGTCTCAGACTCAGCACTCTGAAGCCACTCGACAAAAGGCTTAACAATCTTCCAAATCTGATCACCCTTTGTCGAACCCGAAGCCCCCTCTTTGAACCACTGGAATATGTAATCCTCCTCCAACACATCTGCATCATACAACGCCTTCAAAGCCAAACCCACTTCCTTCACCACAACAGCACTTGCCCCCTTGCAAAACCCTCCGATTGCCCTCAGCAAGAGGGCCTGCCTGCTCCCGTCTGAGCCCACAGCTGCTGCCAAATACCCCTTCTTTTTAGCAACTTCCTTTGCGAAGCCCTTCCCAGCATTCTCAAAAAGAGCCCGAAATAGCGCATCCATAACCTCCTGCTGCGAGCCTGATAGTGAACCAAGCAGGGCAGGGAGCTGCCCCGGGGTGCACCCCTTCTTCAACCAACCCTTAATCTCAAATTTTAGGGTCTCAGTGGTGGCTTCTTCTTCTTGCTCTTCTCCATCTTCCTCATCTTGTGATTGTTTTTTAATAGCTCCTCCATTTTGGGTGGGCACCTCTTCTTTCTTGCTCAATTTGTTCTCCGTTACGGTTTTGGTAGGTTCAGGTTTCTTGGGTTTGGACTCCGGCTCGCTTGTGGTATTGAGAATGACCATCTCAGCAGTAACAGCACTGAGCTGCTCCTGGATGCGCAGGCGTGCAGCCTCGAGGGAAGTGTCAGTATGCCACTGGACACCATCATCATCACTCTCTCCATCACCCACATCCTCATTCTCGTCAGCCTGGCTTCCCACTGGGGATGCCTTCTCCTCATCGGATGCCGATGCCTTCCTCCTTGAGGAGGATGATTTCTTGGTAATTGAGTCCTTCGGTGTGGTGGCCGATGCCTTCTTCTTGACCTCTTTCTTTGCCTTCCTTAGCTCCTCGTCTGCTGCCTCACCTTCCTTGAGCCGCTCCTTCTCAGCCCTCCTCAGGGCCTTCTTGTCCTTTGAACTCTTCTTTTGCTCTGGTGGATTCTTCACGATGAAGGTTGTGAGCTTGTCCCTCATGTCCACCTATAGTCACCCAATCAATTGAAAGACAATAAAAGATCACAAAATCTAGATTGAGTAACTTTGCAACCATGTGTGCAAATCAAGAGATTCTCCAGGGTCCCAAGCCCGAGTCAGACATCAACTCAGTGGGGTCTCAAAAGAAAATATATAAAATTCAAGGACTTGGGTAGACACATCCCTGCACTAGAGTTGGTCATTCGGATCCAGTACAGAGCCAGGTCCAAGTGACTCAGCAACTGCATATGCGCAAGCCACTGTTTTTAACGTACACTAGATCACATTGTGGACAATCCTGTATGTATAAGCCTTGCTTCCTCTATGGAAGCTCAAGTAAGAACCCACAAGCAATGTTGTCTGTGTGATGTCCGTATAACATATCAATGTTAATTATGAAAGCATGGGAATGTGTAACCATGTATAACATATGCATAAATATGTACTGGCAGCAAGTGACATGGATATGCATCCATGCACATGTAAAATACAAATATAACCATCTGCATATGTGTAAGCATGTTCAGACGTGTTCCATATGTGTGCACAAGCCCATGTATGTGTGCATCAACATACATGCACATGATTGGAAGAGATGGATTTCATGCGTATATGGATTGCACAACCATGGAACAACAAACCGGGTTATTGTGTGCACATCACATATGTACATACACATACATCCATTTATCAAAGTATTTGAATATATGTATTATGCATTGATATGTATGTAGTATTATACTACATAGTACATGGACATACATCCACAGAAGCATGCATGCGTGAAAAGACACATATGAAAACATGTTTAGCAAGATCAAATTCACATATTCAACCCAAAGTAACTAGTACCCGACCCTCCCCATGAAAGCATATGTATCATGCACATGTGTACAATTTTATACATAAACAAACACATGCAAATATGCAAAGTCTATATGATTGTTTTTAACAAAGATTTCTCCCACGCACCTCAGATACAAACCCACAGGCAGCGCACTTGAGGTTGATCATCTGGGTCTTCATGATCACAATCTCAGTCTCTGGGTTACCGCATCCATAGCACTGCACGTACTTCTTGATGAAGTTCTCAAGGAGGCCTGCAAGCTTGGCGGTGTCATGGGCTCCATTGACAAGAGAAACCCCAGTCTTATCATCGAATTTGGACTGAGCCCCAAGCTCACATCCAAAGTACTTGGTTGTGTAGGATGCCGGCCTAGCAAGGGCCTTTGCGATTTCCACCATATTCACCACATTAGTCTTTATGCCATTCCCTCGACCCTCTATTTTAGTTATCATCCTAGGCATTTTATACCTATAGAAGGCATCATCACGGTTCGCCGCACCAATATTTTGGAGCGCCATTTTTGCTCGTAGGTAAGTTAATTCAGTTACAGAAGTGACGAAGGAGGACAACTAAGAGGCAAGTTACCAAGGTTGTTCAGTTGAGACGAGGGACAAATTTGTCTGACTACTGAAGGGTTGTTTCTTCTCTTGGAATGGAGAATGGGGGCATGAAAGTGCAACCCCAAAGATATATAGAATTGAGAAGAAATAGGTGTGGCTGCATGCAGCCGAGTACAGGCAGGACCCGTGTGGGGACGTTTAGACTTTTTTCTAGACGTAGGACAGTACTCCCCTAGCAACCCAACCGATCCCAAAAAGGAAGAAGTGGCTACAGACATAAAAGAAGCTTCAAACTTAACACCCTCCACTTTGACAACGTGCAAATCTGCTAACAAACTGGTCTCTCCAACTCCCTGCACAAATATGCAACATCATCAGAGCTTAAACCATCAGAGTCTAGAAAATATGCAACATCTGAGAAACATATACGGATGCATTTAGCATTAAAGCTTTGCCAAGACACAGGCCATTAGGCAGAGTTTATACAGTGTGTATCAGCAAAAGAATGATTCAAAAGTACAAGAACTAGAAAAGATACAAAAATGCAAATCAGTCCATTCCCTACATCAGCTTACTAATGCAATGAATACATGAATCAAATCCGGGGAAGAAGAAATTATGGACCTCAATATAGTCAAAGAAGACTTGTGCTTTATAGAGGCCAATCAGTAGAAAACATATGACTAAGCAAGAGACATCATCCTCAGCCAGTGCTGCATGGATACTAACACCCCAACAACACACACACACACCCCATGCATGCATGCATGCATGATCATATTAAGGTGCACCTTCAAACAACGACAAAAGATGCACCTCGAATGGCAAAAACTCAAACCACCAAAAATGGTTCACATCTAGCAGATCTATAAACATTTGAAAATTTTGAAAATGGGTGGCCATGATAATGCATAACAAGATGCACTACTTCAAGACTCCAAATCCTTTTCTTTTCATATCCATACCTCTCGGGAATCGACATGCTAAATTGGATATTTTCCTAACAATGGACAAGCGCTATCGAGATCAAACCAACCATTGAATCAGTGAGGGGTTTGGTCCAGTCAAAGCCAGTTCAATCACTTATCAAATTGGTTGGATATGATTTTATAAATAAAAATAAATATAATAGTTTAAACATATATAATGTACTAAAAAATTGCTCATCTTCATTGAGTTGGTTGAATCAGTTAGAGCCGCCTTGTCTAGCCGGCCATAACTGGTCAACAATTGGCTTTGACCCGTTTTTGACCAAATACAATTCTTAGACCAGACCAACCAAGACACCGATCGGCAATTTGACCAATTAAACCATTGGTTTGGTTCAGTCTTGATAACTATAGTTGGGACAACCTTTTTAGTAATTTTTCATGGTGTGCATTACTTGCATAGTGTAACGTTGGCAATTGACATACATAAACACTGGTCGCCGATTCAACTGGTTAGACCACTGGTTCAGTTCGGTCTTGACAACTGTAGTTAAGACAACTTCTTCAGTAATTTTCATGGTGCACCTTACTTGTGTAGTATGAGGTTGGCACCTGACATACATACATACACATATATATTTGATAACGACTTTTTTGTAAACTTGATAACAATGACTGTATATCACTTAATATATGTATTGTAAGATCTCTAACACTTAGAGCAAATGTTGTAAATATATATCGAAATTACACACACTGATACAGGGAGCAATCAGGTCGATAGGAGTTGAATTAGTTATTTGTGGTGGGTTCTAATATTTGTTGTATTCTGATTATTTATGCCTTTAACTATTCTGATTATTTAAGTCTTTAAGGTAAATTTTGAGCCTAGAACAAATAAAAAAACACCAAATCAAGAACCCAACAGCAGTCCAATCACCTCATAAGACTGTTGACCGGGTAAAAACAGACCACTCCATGAAGAAAGCAAATCAAAAACCTTAATCGAATCTATACTGGCCAAAATTACAAATAAATCGAACTAAAAATAATTCCTCTTCCTACAACTACAAAGCATTCTCCAAACCCCTGACCCAAAATCAAACACGAAAAGAAAGATAACAAAAGGACATGGATGGATCATCAGCCACAAGCCATGGATCAGACATACAAATCCCTTTGATAAGGTCACACACAACAAAGAGATAAAATGCCTCAATGATTTTGAAACCCACTAAAGATTTGCAAATAAGAAATAGTCATTGCAACAACCAAAAAAAAACACCACAGAATACAGATACAGCCAAGGAACTCCAAATCTTCTACGCCCATGAAACAAACATTCCAGCCCAAATCTACTAGCGCCAAGATATAAAAATTCAAGCCCTAAAATAACAGTAGATAGTCAATGAAGAACTCCCTACAAAATCAAGAACAAAAACTTCAATAAATCTCACGCCATGAGCTATCCATTCCTTTAGCTATCGATAGCAGATCAAATACAACAAATTTCCCAAAACAAATAACCTAGAGAAAAATAGATGATATAGATTGTACTGATCAGAATCACTTATAGTCTTATACCAAAGAACTTGCTGAATATCAGAGGAAATTTAGGGGAAAACAAACAGCATAACTCAAGTTAAAACCAATAGCTGCAGAAAGATAACAATAGATTAGATCAATTCCATAGAAGAGGTAGATCAAAATAACATATCTAATTACAACAACATACAAAAGCATGCAGGAATTCACAAAAACCCTAACCGGAATCTGAAACTTGACTCTTTACAATCGAAAAGGCAATAATCTGCAGAATACACAGCTGAAACCCAACAAAGCCTAACCATATACCTTCATCAAGAAAAAAAGGTACCCAAAACGCTAAACAGATTAAAGACATGATCGCATAATCCATGGTATGAAAACACGTAGAAACCGTAGCACAAATCTAAAATACAGAGATCTAAAAACTCAGAATAACCTATAGAATTAAACACCATAAATCACCTATCAAGAAGAAAACGAAGAAAGCCATGGCGAAAGAAAATCAGTACTTTGCTTGTATAAGAAATACCTTGAAAATAGAACGAAAAGAAGATCGAAAGCGAAGAAAAGCTTGTCGACAACGAAGCTCAGGGAGAGGATAGGAGCCATTTATACAATCGAGATTAGGGCTAGGGCTGGAGTTTTTTTTGTTTTTTTTTTTTTTTTGAGGTTATTATTAGAGAAAAATGTCCAATTTATGGAAAAGTGTTTGGCCGACTCACTTTTTCTTGTGCGTCTCCCTATAAAGATTTATTTTCGATTAAAAATTTCATAATCTACAATAATCTAAGGATTTTTTATTTTTTACAAAATGTAAATGTTATTTTTTTAATTCATTTTCCACTGTCCATTTTAACTTTTGCTGGATGTATCATTTTTTGGCATCCATCTTAGAGATAGACATTAGGTAGACTTGGACCGTACAGTAATAAGTGAATACGCTGATTAGACAAAATCATACATAATAAATAAAGCCTCACCTCATAATTATAAAAAATAGTATGTAAAACTTTTAAGTTGTCTATCCTAGTTTTGACCGTTATGGTTGTGAAAAAAAATTAAGGTTTTAAATCTTAAAAATAATATACATTGTAACTTATTAGGTAGACGGTTTATTTCGCCTTAAAGATACGTTTTTGACAAATCATTAAGATTTGTATATTTATTTTAGCTTTACATTTTCATCATGAGGAATTTGATGCCCAAAAGGGATTTGAAGTGAGACTTTATTTTATTTTCATAAAACCTAAGCTTCATAGAAATTGCATCTTCTTTTTTTTTGTGGATATAAAGTATTGTTTGATGAAATTAGAGCTTTAAGTTCCAAGCACCCTTGTTACTTCATGGAATGACAAACGTATCCCTTGTGGAGTTTTGGCGTGGCCTCTGATGCACCAATTCTAATGTATCTACTTCTTATATTCATCTTGTAGATAAGAGTTTGGATCCAAAACTTCATAGGTTATTATGTTGATCAGCACGATTTGATTTCTAAAGTAAATATAACTTTGGCGCCTTAAAAGCAAAGTTTTAAAAAATACTTATATAGATTGAAATTGGCCCATTCGGATTGAGAATCATCAACTCTGAATCAGTTCTTGTAAAATATTGGGAACCACCTAATTCCCCCCAATGAAACGATAAATTATGGCTAATTCTCTGATATTAGTAGGTTCTATTCAGAGAACTGGTCCCCTTTTTTTCTTTTTTCCATTTTTTACATTTTTAAGTATCCACAAAAGCTAGTTGAAAATCTTGAGAGCCGATCTGGATCTCTTATCCATTTTTTAAAGCCTTGCTTGAAAATAATATTTGTTTATGGCGTGCAATTATTTTTGGATGAGATATATTATCGTATGTAAAATTAATGTACTCTATTATTACATAAGGGAAAAGTTTATATAGAGCCGAGGCTCTAAACAATCAAATTAGAGCCTACATCAAAAGTTTCACTAGAAGAGGTTGTTTTGATGCGCTCAAATATCCTCAAATTGATCATCTCGACATCAAGATGCATAGACATGAGAAAAAATAGATTTCAAGTTTTGAAAATAGTGTATTTTGTAAGGCATTTTTGGACCGTCAACTTTCAAGATTTCCAAGTTTTTATAGATCTGTCGATCTACACTATTTTTGAAACTTTAAACTTTATAAATACATTTGAAAATATATTTTAAGTCAATCACAAAGATTTCCAAGATTAAAACTATGTTTTTCGATACTATTTGAAGGTATGCTCTAATTAGAGCCTAGGCTTTATACAAACCACACCCTTACATAAAGGTTTTTCTAACATTTAACACCGTATATAATCATACATGTTACATTTAGAAATGGTTGTGAATTGTTAAAATTACCATAGTTATTCTTTTAATTATTCAATGTATTTAAATGAATAAGGGTTGTTTTGTTATCAGGAATGGCATGATTAATATTTTCACTAAAATATAAGTAATTATAGAGCGGAGTTCCAGGTACTTTATTTTACAAATGTTATTATCTTTTAGTAAATATTTCAAATATGTCATTCTCAAGGTGACAAACATACCCTTTGTCATTTAATGCAAATGTCTTAAATACCCTTTTTGATGACAAGAATACCCTTATTTACTGTATAGTAAATAGAAGCAAGAAAGGGACAACTAGAGTAATTTTAGCAGTTCACACCCATTTCTACATGTAACATATAGGATTTCATAGGTGTTAATGTTAGAAAAATTCATTATATAATTGTTTAGCTTTTTCAACAAGCGTAAGCTATTTCTAGCCATTTTTTGCCAAAAATGTGTGATTTATATCAAATTACTATGAGTAAAGTAAAAATTATTTTTCAAAATGATAAACTTATCTATAAAGCTGCTAAGTGTATCTCATGTATATGATGGACATTGCCAAACAACATATAATATTTTTTTTATGATTAAATTAATTGAAATAGTGAATTATTGATGATAGCAAGTGCATCCAAACTTACCTTTAGACTTTTTCCAGACAATTAATTAATTGTTAAACATATTATAAATGAGAAAGATTTCGAAATCTCATTCATTTAACAAAAATCACCCTCTCATCAACTTTGAATAAGTGTATTGTTTTACATATCCGTAAGTCTACGGACTTTTAGATCAAACCAAATGCGAATTTTCAAGAGCCTTGTAAATAGAAAAAGATTAACCAAAATGTTGTACTTTTTGTAATGAGGTACTTAAATTCTCATGTTTCAAATTTCATAATTGAAAATCTTAAATTCTGATTACAAGTTTCAGTTGTCAAACACGCCCAAAGGAAGAAAAGGGGGACTAGTTTTACTTTCCTCATTTTAATCTTCATGGGAAAAAACTTTACTCAATTGTAACATTCCTTACCAACTTAGTAATTAAAGAAGGGAAAGCCAATTTACAAGTTATTTCAAAGAAACTCCAAATAATATATAATATAAACTTGTCTTCAAGTAGGTTATTGCTTTCCTTTCCTCCTTTGAAAAGGAAGGAATTGCCAACCTTACAAGAGAAACATATATGCCATTTTAATCTTTTGCCACCAATCAGCTAAAATCAGGAGAGAATCACTGTTACATAATAATTATTTTCTGGCAAATCACCTTTACAATATCTATCATTAAAACTAAAAGAAGAAAAATAAGGACAAGGATGCACAATAAAAAAAGAATCAAGCTCCGACTCGACCGGTGTTCAATTCAGATCCGCCTAGCCTAAGAGACTCCAAAGTCAATGCAATCTACATTTAACAAACAAGAACAAATAGAAAATCTTGAAAATAGACGGTCCAGATATTGTATTACAAAATATATTGTTTTCAGGTGAATTTTTTTTCTCTGCATAAATACATCTTGATGTCAAAATACATCAAGATGACCATTTAGATGTTTTTCCAACATATATACAACCGCTCCTGGATGTGCTGGCATGCAGCCTCAAGGGAAACCTATAGTCACCCAAATCAATTAAAATATAAATTGAACCATATGTGTTTATGCATAATCATATTCATACATGTTCCATGTGTGGGCACAAGCTTATGTATGTGTGCGTCAACATATATGCCCATGATTGGAAGACATGGGTTTTATGTATGAATGGATTGCATGACCATGGAACAACAAACTATCAACATATATGCCCATGATTGGAAGACATGGGTTTTATGTATGGATGGATTGCATGACCATGGAACAACAAACTAAGATTATTGTGTGCATATCATGTATGTTACATACACATACATCGATTTATCGAAGTATTTGAATATATGTATACATTGATAGGTATGGGTATTATACTACATTTGTTGGATTACGTGGGTTGCACGTAAGAATGAAAGATCAAAATACATAAAAAAAAATTGATAATTTAAATTTTTTAGTAAAAATATAAAAATTAATCATGAATCTTAATAAATTTTAAACTTCACATTCTAAAAATAGATTTATTAAAAATTCCTAAAAGATACAATGTTGAATTTCTACTTCGTGGTAAAGACAAAAAATTATTTTCTAACATTTTAAAATTTATAATAATAGTAAAAATCATTATGATTAATTATGGATACATAATAATTCATAAAATTACATTTAAATTTTGAAATGATGTTATGTAAATTAAAAAAAAAAAGGTCAAAATATTTTTTAAGATATAATTTATTAATTTAAAATGTAAAATTTTGATAAGAATTTTTAAGATGAATCAAAACTCCTAAATAAAATTGTGGATTACATATGTTACACCTAAAAGTGAAATATAAACATACATAAAACAAATCTCTTCATAATATAGACGATAATATTATTTTGTGGGACAACATGTGCAATGCACTCGTATGATGACCGTAAGAAATTACTTCCCTTCAATGCTCTCAATAATTGCCTTGGGCAAGTCTTGTGGCTTTGATAATATTTAATATGGTTTTCTAATGAAAGATCATTTTTCAAAAAAATTGCATGCATATCTAATAAGATTTTAAATGTAGAGAGAGATAAGAGAGAAAGACAACATTGTAAATGTGAAGAGAGAGGCCATAAAAAGATGTGCTTGCATATATATCTAATGTTGATCATCCCCAAAACATTTGTATGCACATTAATAAGGTTTTAAATATGGAGAGAGAGTTAGGCCGTAAAAATTTATATGAATATTAAATGTATTTTTAAATATGGAGAGAGAGAGAGGAAAAGGGATGTTTATATGCATATCTCATAAATAATAATAATAATAATAATAATAATAAAAAAAAAAAAACGAGACACTTGTCAATAAAATAAGCAAGGTTGGGTGATAGGAGATGCTTTTTCTACTTAACTTGTTTTTGCCGTTCATGTATTAGAGTATCAAATATCTAGTGGACTTTTTATTGAGAAAAAAATTGGAAGCGATGAAGAGATAGATATTAGGCAATATGGAGTTGGTCGATTTATTTCCTTACAAAGATATTCTTTAAAAAAAAGTTATACAATATCACCTATTTAGATCATCTCCTTACATTGATCTTCATCTATCTTATCTCCTTCTAACCCTATATTCATTATCTAAATTTGAAAAAGAAATTAGTCTATCTCAGAAATTGTGTGATTGGGTATAGAAGAGCTCTCTCTCTCTGTCTCTCTCATTTGGTTTTCTAAAAAATCTCACGTACCTCAAAAA